AAATACTGTATAAGACCATTATTGCAGAATAGAAATATAACTAGTAAATTGTGTATGAGGATCCAAGGCAGGGAGGATGGGAGCAGAGGGCTGGAAGTAAGGAGTAATCATAGTGTTGCACAACTTGATGGGTGGAGGGAGGGGTTGTTATTGTTGAATGCCTTTGAGTTGAGCACTTATACAGACTCTATGAATAAAAGGCCTGGATCTCCCCTTCAACTATTGACATTTATCAAAGTTCATAGAGTTTCTGGAGGCATGTTATTTAGGAAGTGGAAAAGGGAAAGATCCTGAGTAAAAATCAATGTATATGAACAATATAAACCAGTATAAAATGAAAATTTTATTTAAAAAATACAAACCCAAACAACCAATGTCAGTCTAGAGAATAAGCTGCTCCTGATCTAGGCTATGGTCTTCTCAACTGCTTGCTATGCATCTGTGAACTCAGTGCTTACTAAGGATGACAGAAGAAGAATTCATGCCTTAGAATTGTGATTCTGGAGAAGAATATTGAACATAACATGAACTGCCAAAAGAGTGAACAGGTGAGAACAAACAGATTTGTCCCTGAGAGGGTGAAAACAGATTGATCCTTGAAGGCAAAGTTTTTGAAGTTCCATCTCACATACTTTGGGCATGTTGCCAGGAGGGACCAGTCCTTGGAGAATGACAGCATGATTGAAAGAGAAGAGGGTCAGCATGGGAGATAAAGACCCTGCATGAGATGGAATGACACAATGACTGTGGCAATGAGGGCAGATGTGTCAGACACAGTGAGGTTGGCTCAGGACAGGGCAAGGTTCAGAGCCAACGTTCATAAAGTTGCTATGAGTCGTAGCCAAGTTGTTGGTACATAACAACAGATTGCAATGTATATGAGGGAGAAAAAAAGAAAAAAATTTCTTCCCTTGAATATAGGATAAGAATCAGATTATATACATAAAAGTGCCCTATTGTTCAAAGTCCAGAAGAGTTGTAGATTGATATCATCCCTGAAGAGAGCAAAAGAGAGCAATACAGAAGTGAAATTAAAAACCAAGGTAAATGTCAGAAAAGACTATAAAGATTGCACTAGAGACTCAAGAATACAAAACAAAAGGAAAAGTTGCTTGAAGTAAAAGAGCTTTACAGAAGATTTCAAAGGGCAGCTTGAAAACTATAATGGAATATACAAAGAGCTGGATTTGGAAAACAAAAAGAGAAGAATTCATTCAGCATTTTTCAAGTTGAAAGAACTGAGAAACAAATCCAAGTCTTGAGTTGAAATACTGAGAGATGCTATGGACAAAATCTTGATCCAGGAAATTTCAAAAGAAGAAAAAAAAATCACTGTACCAAAAATAATTGCTTGATAGAGCACTATTTCAGAAAGTACAATATGAACAAGAGTCAAAGGTAATGAGGAAGAAGTTCAAATTGCATTAAAAATATTGCCAAAAACTAAGGCTCCAGGAATAGATGGAATGCCAATTGACATATTTCAACTAACAGATGTAGTCCTGGAAATGCCCACCAATCAATGCCAAGAAATTTGGAGGACAGCTATCTGACCAGTTATCCAGAAGAGATGCATACTTGTCCACTTCCCAAGAAAGACGATCTGATAGGGTGTGGAAATTATTGAACAGTATAATTAAGATCACATGCAAGCAAAATATTGCTGAAGATAATCCAAAAATGGCTATAATGGTATATTATTATATATATCAGAGAAGTGCCAGAAGTTCAAGGGGTTTAGAAGAAGCTGTGGCAGCAGGAATATCATTGCTGATATCACAGAGATCCTGGTTGAAAGCAGAGAATATCAGAAGAGTTTCTATTTATGTTTCATTGACTTTGCAAAGCAATTTGACCATGTGGATCTCCTGTGGAGATCAGGAGAAGCATTGCATTCAGCAAGCCTGCTGTCAGAGACCTGTCCAAATTACTGAGGTTCAACAATTTCATTTTGAAGGCTAAGGTGCACTTGATTCAGGCTCTGATCCTTTCAAACACTTGCCATGCATTTGGGAGCAGGAAAATAAACAAGGATGACAGGAGCTGGAAAATAAATAATGATGATGGAAGAAGTGATTCTTTTGACTTGTGGCACTGGAGAGGAGTATTAAGTATCTTATGGATTGCCAAAAGAATAAACAGGTATGTCTTGGGGAAAGTGCAGCCATATTAATATCCCATAAACTTAAGGAAAAGAAACAGATATGTTCTCAGAGAATGTGCAGTCAGATTGTTCTTTACAGGCAAGGATAGTGAAACTTTGTCTCACATTTCTTGATACATTGCTAGGAGATGCTATTCGGAATATCATGTTTGGAAAGGTGGAGTATTAATGAAAGAGAAGACCCTCAACCAGGTGTATTGACACAGTGACTGCAGCAAGAGACTCTGTGTGTCAGAGATGATAAATAGGACACAGGATAGGACAGGTTTCATATCTGTTATACACAGGGTCACTTTGAGCTGTGCTCTACTCCATAGCACTTAGCAATGACAACAACTGTTCAGAAATAAATTCAGAAAGATCTTTTCTTCCATTTTATTGAGTATGCAAATATATTTGACTGTGTAGATCATGTTAAATTATGGATAACATTGAAAAGAATCGAAATCCTGAAACAGTTAATTGTGCTCATGCAAAACTCATATATAGGCCAAGGAATAGTTAGTTATCTGAACAGAAGAAGGGAAGGCTGCATAGTTTAAAATCAGGAAAGGTATGTATCAGGGTTGTGTCCTTTCTCCATACCCATCCAATCTGTATTCTGAGCAAATAATTTGAGAAATTAGAATATTATGAATACAAATAATTATGAATAAGAAGGTATTGGGATTAGAGGTTGACTTGACAACAACTTGCGTTATGCAGTGACAGAATTTTGCTTGAAAAAAGTGAGGAAGATTTGAAGCACTTACTGAGGAAGATCAGAGTATAGCCTCCAATATGGGTTACATTTCAGTTTCAAGAAATCAAAGCTTCACCCCTTGACCAAAAGGCAACATCATGATAGACGAAGAAAGACTGACACTGCCAATGATCTCATCTTGCCTGGACCCATAATCAACACCCATTAGTAACAGCAGTCAAGAAATGAAAAAAACATGTTGCATTGGGTAAATCTGCTTTGTCAAGGACATCTCCAAAGATCTAAAGAGCATGGATAGCTATATAGAGACAAAGGTGCAACTGATCTAAGTTATAGTATTTTCTTTCTTTTTTTTTGCAATGATCTTTTCAATTCTTCCTATGCACCTAAAAGTTGGGCAGTGAATGAGAATTTAGATAAAAAAGAATTTATGCCTATGAATTGTGGTGTTGGAGAAGAATACTGAATATCCCAAGGACTACCAGCAGAGGAAACAAAGCTGTCTTGGAGGAAGCACGACCAGTGTGCTTCTCAGAGGCAAGGATGGTAAAATTTCATCACAGAGATTTTAGGCATGATGTCCAAAGGAGAAGTCAGTATTTGGGAGCAGGTTTCATGCTGGGAAAGGGGGAGGATCAGAGAAAGAAAGGAAGAACTTCAACAAAATAGATGAAGACAGCAGGTTGAGCATGTGGGAGATTTTAAGGACGCCACAGGATAGAGCATGGTTCAGATCTGTTGTTCATTGGGTTACTGTGGGCTTTAGTTGACTTGACACCACATAACAACAACAAAACCAGTACTGCATCAAGGGTAAATAATTGTCATAATTGCACAAGTGTGTCTGTCTGGGAAGACCATAGCTATTGCTCTTCATTAAAGAATGATTTGATCATACGGTCGCACAATTTGATGAGTGGAGGGTAGGTGAGTGAAGCAAATGGGAAAGATATGATGTGAAAAATAATGCATATGAACTTTGTAAATAAACCAGTATAAAAAATTTTAAAAAGAATAATTTGAGGCACTACAATTATAATCATGCTTTACTGTATTCATGGATGTATTTCAGTGGAATATTTAAGGGAAGAAATTTGTTGATTTTTTTTTCCTTACTTAGATGTTACAATTTATATACATGTAAATAAATGCATATATGTGCTTATCCCTTCTAAAGTCCACAATACTACCTATATTGACACAGAGCTCATAAATTGCACATAAACATTAACTTAGCTCTAACTCATATTTATGTGATGTCAAATATTTCATTGGAAACCATTAGCATATAAAAATTTTACTTGTAGTCTGTCAAAGTGTTTAAAGATAGTTCATTTATCCTTTAAGTTACCTAAAACTGTACTTGTAATAACAAACTTAAATAAAAGCAATTAGACCATAGAAAATAGCAATAGCAATGTAGGAAATAACCATTGATTGAATTCAAACATTAACTCTTCTATGCTGCTACTATCAGATTTTGATTGTTGAAAAAGATTTTCTTGTACTTTGAGTGAACATTTTGAGAGCAAATTGGTTTTCCATTGCACCACTCATATAAATTTTGTTTTATAACATTAATTACAGTCTCTACATAGTAGTACACTTCTGTTCTAATACACCAGCTGCTTTGCAGGATAACGGGCATGGTATTTACTGCCTCTCCTCCCATGTAATTTATTCTCTCTGAAAACTTGCTGGAGAGTGAGCTATGGGTTGGTTCCAACTTGATAGCACACATCAACAATGACGTTGTAATAACACATTTCCACTGTCGTAGCTTAAGGGTATATATAACACAGTGTCATGATCAAGAGTGTCATGGTCATTGACTATTTGGAATTCTTGATTATTTATTAAATATCTATAAGGATAATAGGTTATATTACTAAGATAGCTTATTTAAACTTCTCTGTTCTTACATTTTCTCCTCTGTAAAATGAGGATAAAGAGTAGTCAAAGCACTCGAAACAGTGCCTAATACATTACAAGCAGTTAATACATATTTTAATATGATGTTGAAACCTGTAAGGCCTAAGAAAGGGTGATATTTTTTGTAAATTGTCTTTAAGGTTCTGAATATCATATGGCTTAACTTCGTTAAAGTTAGATGAATCCTTGTCTGTTTTTAAGGAAATCCCAACTGATCCCATCCGAGTGCTCAGCTGGCTCCGCAGAGACCTGGAACAAAGTACAGTAGAGTTCCAAGATGCTAAGTTTAAGCCTGGAGAATCATCACTTGGTGGAGAAATGACCAACTTAGCAAACCCTTGCAAGGGTTTCTCTGTGGACTATTACAACACCACCAACAGGGGCTCTCCAGGAAGAATACATTTTGAGGTAGCCCATAAAGAGAATCTTCCTTCGGGCCCCGCTTGTAATGAGAGTTCAATAGACGAAGTTTCCTTCTATGCTAACCGCCTCACAAATCTAGTCATAGCCATGGCCCGAAAGGAGATCAATGAGAAGATTGATGGCTCTGAAAACAAATGTGTCCATCAGTCCCTATACATGGGTGAAGAACCCACACCCAACAGAAGCCTGAGCAAGATGGCATCAGATCTGGTAAATGAAACTGTCACTGTGTGTTCCAAAAATGTTATTCCAGACAAGACTCCTGGCTCTGGAGACAGAGCTTCAGAATTACCCAGGATTTCTCCAACTGTGAAATACCAGAGCATTTTGAAGTTCAAGGAAAGAACCAAGGAAGGCAAGAATCCAGAGGACAAGCCTGCTTCTAAGAAGTCTTTCTTTTATAAGGAAGTATTTGAATCTCGTAATGCAGGTGATGCCAAGGAGGGTGGAAGGTCTTTACCTAGGGAGAGGAAGATATTCAGAGGTCTAGAAAGACCTGATGATTTCACAGCTTCCGTTAGCCAAGGCATCATGACCTATGCTAACAGTGTGGTGTCTGATATGATGGCTTCTATCATGAAGACGCTGAGGATCCAAGTAAAAGATACAACCATTGCCACCATTCTTCTGAAGAAAGTCCTTATCAAACATGCAAAAGATGTGGTCTCAGATCTCATTGACTCCTTCATGAGGAACCTCCACAATGTTACAGGGACTCTTATGACTGATACAGACTTTGTCTCGGCTGTCAAAAGGAGTGTCTTCTGTCATGGAAGCCAGAAGGCCACAGATATCATGGATGCCATGATGAACAAGCTATACAGTGTGATGTTTCCCAAGAATGTCCCCGAGAATTTCAGGAAAGTCAAGGACAAGGCTGGGAATTATTCCCTTGTCTCCATGAAGGGAATGGGTGACCCAAGACACCGGAATGTAAACTATGCAACGATGAAATCCGAAGCTAAATTCAGGGAACAAGTGTGCCCCACTGAACCCAAGCCAGAGAAGTCTTGTGCTGAAACTCTGGGTGAACACATTATCAAAGAGGGACTAAGCCTGTGGCATAAAACTCAGCACAAAGAATGTAAATCTCCAGGTTTCCAGCGTGCGGCATTTGCAGCTCCTAACAAACAATATAAGCCTGCACCAGACATTCCTATGGAATACACGCAGGAGCCTTGCAACAGTCCTTGCCCACAGAAGCTTGAGAACTTTATGTATGATTCAGACTCCTGGGCCAAAGACCTGATTGTATCTGCCCTACTTTTGATACAATACCACTTAGCTCAGGGAGGAAGAATGGATGCACAGAGCTTCCTAGAAGCCGCTGGCAGCTCCAACCTGCCTGCTACGAAGCCCCCTGTAACTCCTGATGAGTCCAGCTTTAAGTTTGCTCATCTTATAGGAGGTGACCAAGAAGAAGCAGAAAAGAAAGATTTAATGAGCATTTTCTTCAATTTTATCCGGAATTTACTCGGTGAGACCATTTTCAAGAATGATCGGAGCTGTGAATCCAAGACGCCAGAATATCTAGCCAAGGAAGACAGTCATCCTGGTGAAAGACCTGCGACCGCATCTTCCACCAAAGCATGTGAGGTTGAAGAGACCGGAGGTGTCTTAGCTGGACTCACCAAGATGGTTGCCAACCAACTGGAGGGCCATATGAATGGGCAGATGATAGAACATTTGATGGACTCAGTGATGAAGCTGTGTCTTATTATTGCAAAGTCCTGTGACTCTCCCTTGGCAGAACTGGGAGATGATAAGTGTGGGGATGCCAGCAGACAAACATCAGCTTTCCCAGACAGTTTATATGAGTGTCGACCAGGCAAGGGCACAGGCACGGCAGAGATTCTCCTGCAGAATGCCTATCAAGCCATCCAGAATGAACTGAGGGGCATCTCACAACACTGCCCTGAAGGATGTGCAGCCCCAAAGGTGATTGTTAACAATCACAATCTAACGGATACAGTTCAGAACAAACAACTCCAAGCAGTCCTTCAATGGGTAGCAGCATCTGAGCTCAACGTTCCTATATTGTACTTTGCTGGTGATGACGAAGGCATCCAAGAGAAGGTAAGGGAGAAAAGTCAGAGGGAGATCTGTGATCATTATTAAGGGTTTATTGGGTGGGTGGTTTGTTGTGTGTGTGTGTGGTTTTTTAAATTACTTGATTTTATTTCCTTTTCCCAAAAATATTTTTCTGGTTTGGATTGTTTTCATTGGTTTGTTGTTGTTGTTGTTTTTTTAAATGTAGACTCAATAGGAAAAAAGCAAAATATAACTCTACTTGAGTTATTTTACATTTTTTTTTGTTCTTATGAGTACAAGGGAGTCTGTTGCCTTAATGAATTAATAAGACAGACCCAGAAAGAGTAGATTGGGGACAGTAAGGATTTGGGGATCATGCCTCTTGGAAAAGATAGTAAAGTCACATTATATTTGCTCAATTGTTGCTACGTGCCATTGAGTCAGAACTGACTCATAGCTGACCCTACAGTCGATTTTCAGAAGCTACAAATTGCAAGAGAGGAGATTTCTCATTTATCTCCTGAGGAGCAACTGGTGGATTTGAAACACCTGTCTCTAGGTTGCCAGGCAACTCCTTACCACAGGCCACTAAAGCAGGTGAGTAGGAGATGCTATCAAAGAGGAAAAGGAATGATAAATTATCTTTTTCTCTATTTTCTGCATTGATTGATGAGAATGTGCATATGACGACCCCTGAGAAACTTGATCGAAGGATCAGATTAAAAATCTGGCCTCTAAATTGAGCTTTAGTTAGGACAACCTGATCCAAAATAAGGCAGATTTACTAGAAAGTATCCTGGGATGTACTGAGAAGAGAAGAGCAAGGCATAAAGTCTAGATTTGTGACCTTTTCAAGCTTGTAAATACTCTCCTAGCCAACCATCTAGAGGACGTTGGGGATTTGAAGGGATTCAGTAAGTAACACTCCTCTTTCCCCACCTCAAATTCTGATTCAATTGTGAAGGCAGATGGGAAATCACCTTTATAATACTGGTGAAGGTAAGTATGCCTCCTAACTTCTCTCACCTTGTTATTGCTATATGCCTTCAAGCTGGAGGTGACCCAGGGCTGACCCTCCAGCAGGTTTTCAGAGACAGTAATTTGCATGGGAGGAGATTTCCCGTCATTCCCCCACGGAGCAGCTGGTGGATTCAAACCATATGCCTTTGAGATTGCAGAGCAGCTTCTTAACACTAGGTCACCAGAGCTCCTTCAGACCTTGGAAAGTCTCTTTAAAGGACAAGTGTGAGTGGAGAGCATGTATACTATTAAAATTACTGCCTTGTGCTGCCGCTCAAAACTAAAAACAAAACAGTTTCCACCCGGTAAATTCAACTCATAGCAACCCTCTAAGACAGAATGGAACTACTCTGTAAGGTTTCCAACACTGTACACTTTACAGAAAGGCACTCCAACGGCATAGTGGGTTACTTGTTGGCTTACTAACTGAAAATCCATTAGCCACTCTGCAGGAGAAAGATAGACAGTCTGCTTCCTTGAAGATTTACAGCTTAGAAAACCCACTGGAAGATCACTACAAACACAAATTCGGTTTTGTTTGTATTATAGAAGAGCCCTGGTGATGTGCACTGACTGGGCTGCTAATAAAAAGGTCAAGCCTATCAGTCATCCAGTGGAAGCAAAGGGTGGCAGTTGGCATCCATAACATTTCACAGCCTCAGAAATCCTAAGGAATTGTTATACTCTATCCTATAGAGTTGGAGTCAACTCAATGGTAACAAGAATCTTTACGGAAATAGGCTGTCATGTTTTCTCCTATGGCCAGTAGATTCAAACTGACAACCTTGGGGTTAGCTGTTCAGTGCTTGGCCACTATGCCTCCAAGATCCTTTATATTCTAGTACAGGGGGAGAAAAGAAAGAAAAAGGCCTTTTCCATTCCTTCAGCACACACACACACACACACACACACACACACACACATATACACACACACACACACACACACCCCCTCCAATTTAGGCATTTTTATTAACTTCTGTCAATTGAGTTTGTAGGTGTTGCAATCCCATGGTTCACTGGTTAACCATAGCGGAATGTGAGACACTCAGAAGCACCTCCAAAGAAAGGCCTGGTGATGTACTTCCAAATATCAACCATTGAATACTCTATGGAGCACAGTTTTACTTTGACATGCATGAGATCACCAAAGTTCAAAGTTAACTAAATAGCAACTGCTCTTTTCAATTAAGAAAAATGGAATAATGACTGTTATCAATTAGGTAGTGTAGGTAGGCACAAAATGTTGGAATTAGTTCGGAGAATCCGTCCTCATAAAATTCAGACACTGGAGAAAAAGGCTTTCTCTGCCCAATAAGAGGTATTAGTAACACTTGCAGTTGGGCACTAGGAAGAGATAGGATTTCCCAAAACACAGACTGTCATTGTTATGTGTTGTTGAGTTGTCTATAACCCACAGCAACCCTATGAGCAGCAGATCTGTACCCTGCTTTGTCCTATACCACCCGCATCATCTCTGGCATAGTGGAACCTGTTACAACCACTGTGTCTGTCCATCTCTTTGAGGGTCTTCCTCTCTTTCACTGATCCTCCAAATCTGACCTGTCTGATCTAGTTTTGCTACTTTGGAAGTGTAATCTGTGGACCAAGAGCATTGGTATTTCCTGAGATCTTGCTGGAAATACAACAGTTCAGGCTCCATTCCAAACCCACGGAATCTAAAATTTAATGAAATGCCTCAATGATTCACACGTACATTGAAGTTTAAGTTAGACAGAATATGAAGTTCCAATCCTACATATAGTCCTGAGAGTCTGAAATTTCATATACGACCACTGCTTGGAATGCACCCCAAGAAAATGAGAACTGAGGCACAAATAGAGGCTTGACACCAGTGTTTGTAGCAGCATTATTCACCATCACAAGAACATGGAAACAGCCCAATGTCCAACCACAATCAATGGATTGAGAAATTATGGTACATTCACACAATGGAATACTATGCAACACACAGGAGCAATGATATAGAAAATTACTACCTGACTTGGGAGGGACGAGATAATTATGCTGAGTGAACAAACTAAGTCCCATAAGGACAAATACTATGCAAAATCATTATTGTAGAATGAGTATGAGGATCTAAGGTGGGGAAGGGGGGAACTGAGGGAATAGGATGGGGGTAATTATAGGGTAACACAATTTGGTGGGTGGAAAGTGAAAGAAATAGGAAAGATCCAGTGTGAAAAACAATGTATTCAAATTTTGTACGTAAACCAGTATAATTTTTTTTAAAGTAAATTAGTATTTTGCGATATAGTCATTAGTTGCCAAAAATCTATTGTCATTGTGTCAAATTTTAACTCATAGTGATCATATTAAAACTGCCGGAGTAGAACTGCCCCATGGGTTTCCAAGGCTTTAAATCTTTACCAAAAACAACACACACACTGACATCTAATGAGTTTGGACTCATGGCGACCCTCCTTTTGGTTTCTGAGGCTGTAGACCTTTCTGGGAGGTGACTGCCCATTTTTCTCATGGAATAGCTGTTGGTTTTGACCGGCTAATGGATTCTAACTGGGGACCTTTCTGTCAACAGCCATTACCCGCTACGTCCACCAGGACGTTTTTAGCCATTAGAAAAGGGGGGGAGGGAGGGCTACCAAAAGCTTAAATTTATGAAAAAAAAAAATCTGTAAATAGATCTCTGTTTGCATCTCATACTCAAATTCATTAAGGTTGAACCAGAGCAGACTCACTGCTGACCCTGCCTCAGGTTTCTGGGCCTGTAAACTACACAGGTAAAGGAGTTACCCATCTTCTCCAGCACAGCAGCTGGTGAATTTAAACTGCCAAAGAAGCATAGCCTTTGGGTTAGAAGTCAGACTCCTTACAGACTAGAATACCAGAGCTCTTATATGCATACAATCTGTGAAAACAATAGGCTTTTGTTCTGTAACTGTATGTTAAGTCCAAACCATCATAAGTAGCATACATAGTAGATTTTGGTTTGGGATAATTTAGAATTTTAGTGTCTTTAATGTGTTTGTTTAAAATGGAGACAATATATTTGCAGTCCCCCTTCTGTACACACATGTACATACATATCTGTCTATTCTCAACGTAAAGGAGTTATTATTTGCATTAACAGGATTGAAAAGCTAGACAGAAGTCTATTAAAATGTTAGCAAACTGTAACTTAAAATGTGGGGTTTTGGGGTTTTTAAAAAAAAATTATTATTCATTTCAGTGAAAATTTACAGAGACTTTGGATTTCCATTCATTCATTGTTGCACTTTTCTCCCCTCTCAACCCTCCCCCCTCCCAGTACACCACCCTCTGGGAAGAGTAAAAGAAAATTTCTTTCATTGTTTTACAATCCCTCCCCCAGGTCCACTCCACTATACAGCCTTTGCTCTAGACTCCTGCATGACAAATCTACCTGATCACATATCCCTTTTAAACAGTTTTCTTTCTCATCTGTTTCAATGCAGTATACATTATTAAACCCATCTTTCTCAGTCTCGCCCCGACCCCGATGTCAGTCCTGTTTTACAACAATGGCACCATGCAGTATTTGTCCTTTTGTGACTGAGATATTTCACTCACATAATGTCCTCCAGGGTCACCCATTTTGAATAATATTGCATGAGTTCCTTGTTTTTCAATACAGCATTGTATTTCATTGTGTGAATATACCACAGCTTCTCTAGCCATTCGTTTGTTGATGGGCACTTAGGTTGTTTCTAACTCCTTGCTATTGTGAACAAAGTTTCAATAAACATGGGTGTGCATATATCTGCTTGGGTGTCAGTTCTGGTCTCTTTGGGGTATATTCCCAGTAGTGGAATTGCTGGGTCAAATGGTATCTCTATTTGCAACTTTTTGAGAAAGTACCATACCACCTCCCACAGTGGTTGCGCCATTTCACACTCCCACCAACAGTGAATAAGGGTTCCAGTTTCTCCACAACCTTGCCAGCATTTGTTGCTTGCTGTTCTGTTAAACTTTGCTATTCTGACTAGGGTGAGATGATATTTCATAGTTGTTTTGATTTGCATCTCT